TAACAAAATAGTTATACAAATAACACGAATTTCCACACCAAAAGACGAAATTTCAACAAGTTCAGTGGTGCACTGACTACACAATGAAACAAAGATGGTGCCTGACGCTCTTGCTGTGAGCCGCGGTACAACAATATTCATGCGCCAGACGAAATAGTCCTGTATTCATCCGCGTTCGTTGTAGGAGTTGCGTTCGTTATAGCATTCTCAATTTTATAGGTAAAACCGTTCGTTATAGGAATATTCGTAATAGAATCCGTTCGTTATAGCATACCCCACTGTACTATCATGAATGACAGCCATAGAATGAGAGAGAGAGGCAGTGTTGGTGAAATGCAGTGGGTGGGAGGGAGGGACGAAGGTGAAATTATGATTTAGGTAGTGATAAAAGAGGTACTGATGGTGGTGATGGTGATCATGGAGATGGTGTTGAGAAAGCAGAAATGTGGGGGTGACTTACCTTTCATAATAGTAGAACATTCTTTCATTAATCAGCAAATGGGTAGTAGAGACTTGCTTTCGTTATAGTGAGGATTCATTCAAAGGATTAACATTCAAAACGTTCAATGGGGGCTTACTGTAAATGTGGTGTGATGTTTAGGAAGTCAACTGGATTGCAGTAGCAGCGATGCGTCGTCTGTTCCCTGCCTCACACCGCTCGTACCGTACAACCACCACTGCACCATCACACACATGAATGCACACCTGACACGCAACACTAAATAAAACATGCGTACAAACTGAATATTAAGTTTTTCTGTAACAAACTTATGACTGGGAAGAATATATAATTTATCCTAGTCATAAGTTTAATATCAACATATTGGGAACAATAATTAGCAGTGTTACTTGTGCATGTATATTTAAGATTTACATATATAAAGTGTACTTTTCTTACCTTCTGGACTGCAATCATGCAGGATGTCCGATGAAGGGCTGGCAAGTCAGGGGCGGGTCCAAGAATATCAAAAGGGGGGTCCAAGAAGTTGTGGTTGGGGGAAAATGGCGAGCACTGCAAGCCCACCCAGCTGGGGGGTTTGTGGAGGTGCTGTAAGCCCCCAGAAATTGTTTTGAAGTCTAACCAATATCATGGGCATTTTGAGACCATGTACAGTAACTAAAACAACTATCTGAGCAGGTGGGGTCGATATGCTACGAAATTTTACGTGTGACTAGTGAAAGCCCTCATATACCAATATTTATCGTCCATGGTCTCATATTGTTTCCCACAAAGTATGCTCAGATAGTTGTTTTAGCTACTGTACACTTGATATTAGGAGATATTCTGAGGTCAGTGGTAATTAATTTTTACTTTACAAAAATGTATGAGTGCAATACTGTACTGATTTAAAGAAAAGGTATTGTAATTTTCTGATGAAAAGGCGGGAGGGGGTCTGGACCCCCAGGAACCCCCTGCATTCGCCTCTGCAGGTGGGGAAGCCGTATCGGTGGAGTGAAGGGGAGAAGCAGGCTATGAGTGTGGGAGGGGTGATGCAGACGACGCCAGACTGGTTGGTGAGGAGAGAGACGAGTGGAGGGAGGGGATGGATGTTGGCATTAAAAACATTATTATTGGCTATTGTTTGGCTTTCTTTTTTAGCTCTTTATAATATAAATTTTCTGTTAAGGTTGTAAAACATTCTCTATAGTATTCTGCTTCATTTTGATGTTTAATTCCATTGATGGGTCATAGTCGTAAATCATATCTGTTAAATTTTTGGCACACCTGATTCATGTCTTAAATCCATACACTTAACGCCTTCTCTGTCTTCTCCATACCTTTATCATGTATCTGATGTGTAACTTCAGCACTGTGTGGTGCACTGTGAGCAATACTACTTCTAATTTCTTTGCCTTTCATCTTTATGGAACGAACAGTTGACTCATTTACTTCAAATGCACGGCCAACAGCTGATGCACTCATGCCGCTATCAAGTTTATCTAACACTTCAATTTTCTGTGTCAGTCATGACTTTCTTCACTTTCTTTGCACCAGATGCACAACCACCAGTTAGTATGTTGTTTTGGGAGTCATGACAGTTATAATTAGCATTAGAATTGCTCTCAGACGAGACTGGTGGGCGATGCGGGAGAACTCTAAAACGAGACTGGTGGGAGAGAACAGCTGTGTGGGATGCAGCATGATGCTATGACATCACATCATGGCAGATGCCCGTGGTTTTAAAATATGTACCTTATTTTTTTATGTTATTTTAGTTGATAAAAACCTCTGAGGTGGTTTTGTGGATATTCGAATTCACGAAATTGAACTTGCATATGTTGAGGTACTGGTGTATTCCTTTCCCTCCACATTTCTTGTACCATAGCCTTTACCACAACCCTCCATGTGTGTGTTTGCACCAACATGACCATTTAGGTTACCACCCAGTACTATCATCTCTGTCACCCAGCTCAGATACTACATGTAACATACTCATCCCAGAACTCAGCCTTCACTTAGCCCAACTTATAGGGAGTAGCACATATGACAGTCATCAGATCCTTTCTTACTAGCAGCTACAGAACCTTGTTTCTTGCATTCACCCATTTCACTTCTAGCACTTCACTCATTTTTTGGCAATCAAGATTCCTACACCACCTATTCCAGATTCACTCTCCTTCCAGAATATCTTGTAGCTATCAGTTTAACCAATAATTGTCATTGCTGAGCCACCTTTCCACCTCATTTCTTACATGCAGCAGACATCAAGCCTTCTTTGGCTCATTGTCTCTACAATCTCAACTGCTCTTCCATGCATCATACATATGCTTAGACTACCAACTCTTGAACCCAACGATGTCAGGTTCTTTTTTTTTTTTAGCACATAGTATTTGAGGCATTCAGTCATGTGGTGTTTGAGTGGTTTTTGTATGACAGGTTTATGTTTATTCATTGTAGTGTTGGTCATGATTGGTATTAAGAGTTGGTTATCACTGAAAATGGGACACCCACCCCACCCCTTCCTCCTCCCTACTCACCACTGCATACCTGGGATCAGGCATACTTGTGACCTTTATGTCATTGCAAGAGCAGTCCATTGGCCTCAAGTGACCCACTGCAACCAACTTAGGGACACCCTTCCATTCACAGCATGGCACTAAATCTGGCCATAGTATTATTTTTAGATGATGGAGTAACCTTTCAGGGCACTACCTCTGATTTTGGGCTCCTGTACTATCGAGTGGCAGCATCAGCCTATGAAATGTTTTCTGATACCCCCTGTACAGGCAGGATGCCAAAAGAGAATATATAATTATCAACTTGGCTTTTCCAAACAGCAAAAAAGTAGATAAAAAGGAAGTAGAGGTAGATCTCCTATAATTGATACTGTTACTAGCAGTCATGTGTCATTAACCTGTCTCTTTTTAACTACATTGGCTTTTTCTTGGCAAGAACTGTTGATTTATAACAACCCTGTACTCTTCATAGGTGTTATATATACAGTACAGGGTACATATTATATACAATAATATCCCTGTTAGCCGAAATTATTGGGGCAGAGCTCTTCCAGAGTGAAAGATTTATGGGAATGGAGACAAATTTCTCATCCCTGGAATAATCGCACATCCCCGGAATGTTTCCTGATGCTGAGGAAAGTTTTCCAAAAGTCTAAGCTACACATCTCACATGGACAGACACAGCTGTATTTTACTTACAGAGTCACCACTATACATATACAATATATTGTAAATAAACAAAATTTATTACTGTATGCACTACAGTATACTGTACTCACCAGCAGATGCTGTCATCTTGGGCTTGTGTTGTAGGCAGGCCAAATGGTGATATGATGATACAGGATGGCCTGCCTTTATCCTCTACTATTTACTGTAGCAGGTGGTACTGTCATTATCCTCTCCCACTATGAGAGAGGGATTGCACACATACACACACACACTGTATACTATACATACACCTTTGCACACTAGCCTACAGTAGGCATACACTGTCCAGTGTCCACTCTGCTATGTACAGTACTTTCACACTTACTGAATATACATTACAGTATACATAACTGTAATCACTTTTTACATCTTAACACTTCTTTAACACAGTATTCTTGGCTGATCGTATCATGGTACAGTAATGTACAGTACTACACAAAGCAAATTGTATGCAAAAACAGTAGCGAGTGAAGGAACAACCTTCTACAATGGCAGCAGAATATGAACTAAGCACACACGCCTACATCCTGAGTTACCCACGCAGCTAGCCCACCCCTGTGCCCAGCACATGGAAATTTTTCGGAGCATGATGCAATCTCCCAGAGCTCCTGAAAAAAAATCCCACTCCCGGAACAGAGAAATTTCTCTCAGAAATTTCCCAGAAATTGCACGTGATTTCGTCCTCGCAAACTTTTTCCCATCTGGAATGGAGAGGTACTCCTGGAAGGCTCAAAATTCATTCCAGTTATTGGAAAGTTCTGGGGACCGGATATTCTGGCTAACAGGGATATTACTTGTTCTGTACACTAATTTGGGATTGGTCTGATAACATGTCATCCACAAAAGTCATGGTCCTGTGATGCTATACTGTGCAATATTTATAACTGATGCTGAGGATCTGGTGACTTATGTACATCAATCAAGTTAATGGTCTGATGCCCCAATGGTTTTAAGGATTCCCATATTTTACCAAACTGAAATTGAAGCAGATAACTTAGCATTTTCTAAAATAAAAATTGACACTTTTTTAAAATAAAATTAAGTGGCCTTGCAATTTGCATTTCAACAGTGAAAATATTTGCCTTATGTAGTTAACTAGATAAATTTATGCATGTACCTGTTAATAGTTTCAAGTCTGAGTATGTTTATAGTTGATCAGGTGACTAGAGAATGTTAATTTTTTTCTTTCCCTCCAGTAAGGACTTACACATGAGAGAAGTTGTTATCAGCATTACTGTATTTCAGTACAGTAATAAGATATTCCAAAGTAAGATGCTGTTTACTGTACATTAATATAGGTAAATACCTAAACTTTCCTTTTCCCTCTTTCTTAGACTAAAGATGTTGATAGCAAGCAGAAACAGATGCTCCATCCAGCAGTCCGGAAACACTTGGGGAAAGCACCAGTTAAGTCTGCTGGCAGTAGTTCCCCCTTCCCAAATTCACCTGTATACCAGAGCTTTGGCAGAAATAAACTACCTCATGGAGAATATAAAGAAAGTGTTGAGAAAGGATCAGTAAAGGAAGAACATGCAGATATGGTGGAAAGTGTTGAAAGATTTTCAAGTGAAACTGATAGAATTAGCAGTGATCATAGAGAAATTCAGGAGGCTACAGATGGCAAATGTAAAGACTTGTCAGACACCATTGATGAAGATACTAATAAAAATTTTAGGTCTCCACGACCTCCAAGCCCAAAATACCTTCCCCCTAAGCCACCAGACAACCCCCACACCATATTCCAGGGACGACACCAACGGTTCCAGAGCAAAAGAAGGTGAGGAATTTTCAGCTATCATTTCCACATGTTTATATGTATGGGATTATTCTCTCAAACACAGAACTAAAGATTTTGATTACAGTTGAGTCTGCATTTACGCGGTCAATTGAACCCGTGGAGGCTCGCGTAAAACGAGAAACTCGTAAATGAACTAACAGAACATATGGGATTAATTGAAATAGAGACTGGGCTGACCCCCAAACTCCACTTTTTCCGACACAATACCTACGTTGTAGTAAAAATAGTTTCTTAATTTTATGATGGTATGCACACACAATTAATATTTAAGAGAAATACAGTCGCCCGGTTAATGTCCATTCAAATAATGGACTCGACTCCCCCCCCCCCCTCTTCCCACGCTCGCTGGCTCCTCCCTCTCTGAGAAATGTTTGGGTGAAAACACTAGATTTTAAGGTATAGTAATAAATAATACCTCAGACTAAAGTTAGGATAATATAATTGACATTGCTGGATTCCTTGCAGGACAGGGAATATTTTTAATGTAAACATCATATATTTTGCACTAAACATAAAATTTTTGCTAATTTTCATCATCTTCTTAAATTACATCTAATATTTATATGTCTAATGCAAATTTTAAGATGTTTATATTTAAAATGATCACCATCTTGTAAGGATTCCAGCAATGTAAATTATATATTTTATGAGCTAAAAACATATATATCTTCAGTAAATAAACAAATTGTACTTCACCCGTGTAAATGATGAAATTTACCGCGTAATTGAAACATTTCATTCTGGCAATGTGCCACGTACATGACCAAACGCGTAAACAAAAACCGCGTAAATCCAGATTCAACTGTAATGTCTTATGTCAAATTCAGTGGATCTGTCACTTGTTTATTGTCCTAATGGTTGCTGGTTCATGCCTAGGGCATCCACAGTTGTTAATGGCTACCTCACCTGACAGTTGGAAAGTGAAAGCAGACTGAGTACAGTTCTAGACACACTGCCTTCTTGTGTACTGTACTGAATAGTGGCTTAATTCAGTGTGCTATACTGTATCTCCATTTCCCCAAACAGGTTGTCAAGCTTGTAGGAACTACTTTTAAATTTTTTAGTTAACCCCTTGTGTGTGGAGCCATCTTTGAGCTGAATAAAATCATCTGGGATTAGCAAAATATAACATTAAAAGTGGCATCCCTATAATGAAGGTGGTGAAATCCAGAGCAGTTAACCAGTAAGAAAATATTATTTGGTGTCATTGTTTTTCACTGATTTGCCATTTTATATTTATTTTAATTGTAAACTTGTTCTCGAAAAATATTGGCTTCAGCCTGAAATTTTTACTCTAGTTTTTAAGTTGTAACCTACCCTGATCTGTGTTTGAGTAATGTTCAGAATTCTTTAGATGTCATAGTTAACCTTATTTTTCAGTTACAGAGATGCCAATTTGTATGTAAACAAAGTACAATTTGTAAAAAATTGGTTGCTGTTTTGAGGAAAGATGATGTTCCAAAAAATTGTATAATTAACTTGCTGTATTTTACGACATATAAGGCACACTTTTTTGTCTGAAAATGGCAAAAAAAATCAGCCTGCATCCTGTATGTGAAGTTGTGGTCTCCCGTAAGCTAACGAATCCTCCAGTTTTCTATCTCCAGTAGGCTAAATTCTACCTAGCCCAACTCCAGAATTATAAATATGTTATTGCTTTAAACACATTATTATTATCATTTTTAATAAATTAAAAAATAATTATTGTGAATATAAAAGCTAGATTCATAACTACTGTATTGATGATGATAACCTGAGACAATTAACGTCTGTATGGCAGACACCCAACTCTTCAGAGGTAGCTAAGCAGTAACCATTTCTGAGCTCTTACAAGCATTACGATCTATTAATGCCATTCTGCAACATTTATTTTTAAATTTACAAATACCTGATACAAATGAAGATTTACATTCTACATTTGTGTCTGTTAACATCGTTAATGGCATTGTAGCCAGGTTAGACTCATCACTGTAACCACCAGGTTACTGGGCCAGGCTGTGAGGTGTTGTGGTTGTTATCATCTGGTATTTTTTGGATAGATATACATAACTTTCTTCATTTATTTTTACTCAGTTACATGTACACACCATCCTACATACATATTGTGAAAAAAGTAAAAGAAATTATTGTCCTAGGGGCAAACACATAAAGGGAATTTAAATTTTTTTGCACACAAGTTAGCTGGCTCAGTGGGGAAGCAGGAAGAGGTGAGGCATATGGGGGGGGAGTGTTGCTAGGGAATTCACGGTGGTAGCATCTCTGTTGCTTTGATGAACCAGGGAGTTTATGCAAATGGCAACTGTCTTAAACTTTCATTTGGCTTTTATTTACTGGTTTGGCAATACAGTATTTTTGGTTATTTATTGGTATTATTTTTTCCTCACATTCCATGGTACTGTATATATTATTTTAAGAAAACTGTAGCTACAGGAGGAAAATACACACAAAAGTTTTTTCCTAAATACTTCCTGTTAAAATGGGGAGGTGCATCTTACATGGTCGTGCGTCTTATATGCAGTAAAATACGGTGCTACCTATACAGTGGTCCCTCGGTTAACGAGCACAATCCGTTCCAGCAGGTTGCTCGTTAACCGAAACCATTGTTTCGATGGGTTTTTGGGTAATTGGTTCCAGCTTACCGAAAATTGCCTAAATTCAACAAAAAAGGTAGAAAAGTTCACTTACTTTGAGGTGTGTATGTAGAAGGCTCCCGGATGATGATGTGAATTTGAAGTGGGAGATGGAGGAGGAGAAGGGAGAAGAGAAGGAAGTGGAGGTGGAGGAGAAGCATATTTTACTGCTTCTTGGAAGGTGAGTCACCTTCCATGAAAATGTCAGGAACCTCTGGACTGGCAGATTCTCCACCATGAACATCCTCTCTCCTTGAAGTGGAAGGCTGAGGGATAGCATCTTGTTCTCTCTGCCTTTTACTGAAGAAAATGTCAATTGTGGTCTGTGGGGCATCTCTCCTCCTCACCATTAACTTATGTTTAAAGAAGGAGACCACTGAGTCCTCAACATCACACAAAGTTAGTTCAGTTTTTTACACATCTGGGTGCTTTGAAGCCAGTTCCCTGAACTTCTCCCAGTAGTAAATCACATCTTTCAACTGTTTAGCTGACATATGGTCATCACTTTCAATTTCCTCCTCATCACTGTCAGCCTCTACCTGTAACATCTCATCCAGTTGCTTCAAGTCATCAGGAGTAAGTTCCTCCTCATGAGACATCACAAGCTCTTCCACATCCTCCTCCTCCACTTCAAGGCCCAACGACTGACCAATGGACACAATCTCCTGGTCCAACTCTGTTTCTTCCTCAAATCCCTCAAAATCATGGACTACTGATGGCCACAGTGCTTTCCATGAAGAATTGAGGGATCTAGTGGAGACTTTTTGCCATGATGACACAATCAATTTTACAGCCTCCAGGATGTTGATTTGTGTCTTCCAGAACTGTTTCAGTGTTAGTTCAGGATCATTGGAAGTTGCCTGATGACACCTAAACATTTTCTTCATGTACAGCTTCTTGAAGTTGCTGATCACATTCTGGTCCATTGGCTGTATGATTGATGTGTTTGGAGGCAAAAACAACACTTTCACAAAGTCAAATTGATACTCCAAATTTCTGGCAAGGTCAGGGTCATGACCAGGAGCATTATCCATGAGAAGAACCTTTAAAGGGAGTTTATTGGTGGTTAGGTAGCTCTTGACAGAAGGGCAAAACACATCAACAGCCCATTCATTAAAGAGCCATCTTGTCACCCATGCTTTACGGTTGGACTTCCAATAAACTCCAAGCTTTGTTCTTACCACTTTCTGTTGCTTGAACACCCTGGGGTTTTCAGAGTGGTAGACAAGCATAGGCTTCAGTCGGAAATTCCCTGAAGCATTGGCACCAAGCAATAGAGTGAGATGGTCTTTCATGGGTTTATGCCCAGGTAAAGAGGCTTCATCTCTGGTGATGAATGTTCTTATGGGCATCTTTTTCCAGAACAGCCCAGTCATTGTAATATAACAGTATTTTAATCGAAAACTATTAAAAAAACGAGTAACATCTCTTGAACATCGGAAGGGTAGGTAAAGTCTTTTGTTTTCGTCATGTATTTTATCCTATTTTACATTGAAATACAGGTAGTCCCCGACTTACGACCACATGGACTTACGTCCATTGGTACTTACGACCTGCTCTGACCGTACGTCCGTCGGGACATACGACTGCAACCGTCGTGACCAAAAATATTTTCAAATGACGCGCGCATTTTCTATACCGAAACGTTTCCGTCCTGGGCAAGAGGGTGGTGCGTCTCGGGTCACGTCGTGGATACACTCACTCAGTGGAGCGCTTAGTTGGTGTTTGGCTATTGTATTTTATACTGATCGTGCTGTGAACTTTCGTTATTATCGTATTTAGTTGACTTTATAATGACTGGAAAGTGTAAAAGTGAGAGTGCTGGTGGTGTTCCAAAGAAAAGGAGACAGGCAATTACTTTTGGGATGAAAATGAAGATAATAACACAGCATGAGAATGGAAAAACAGTAGCAACAATCTCACGCGACCTAGGTTTCTCACACTCGACTATATCCACTATTCTGAAGGACAAGGAACGTATTCGTGAAGTAGTGAAAGGAACAACACCTATAAAGGGAACTATAATATCAAAGAGAAGACAAGGTCCTATTCACGATATGGAAAAATTATTGGTGATATGGATAGAAGACCAGATACAGAAGTGTGTACCCTTAAGCCTTCTAACCATACAGGCTAAAGCAAGAAGCCTGTTCCAAAGCCTGAAGGAGCAGGCAGGAGATGAATGTGATCAAACCTTTACAGGAAGTCATGGGTGGTTTGATAGATTTAAAAAATGCTACAGTCTACACAATGTTAAGGTGAGTGGAGAGGCAGGTAGTGCAGATGTTGGTGCTGCCGAAACTTTTAAGGAGGAGTAAGATGATGTGATTATGGAAGGGAATTATTTGC